AAAGAAGGTATTAAAAAAATAGCTTGTTAAAATATTTTACCTTGAATTCTGTCATAAATTATACTATATTATATTGTATCAATTTTTTCTTCATAAGGGATTGCAGAGGTAATATCGATTAAATTATTATATAATATTTTTTAAATATTTATTAATATAGGTCAACAATTTTAGAACACTTTTTGTCTCCGAAGTATAATCAGAACTGCGAACAAGTTCATAATTATTTACACGACAATGGGAATGTATAAAACTATCGTTTAATTTTGGCACGCAATTTTGTACATTGTTAGACTTTTATGCGTTATTAAAAAGGTACTGACGATTATAATTATAACACAAACATTTAAATTCTCTTGAAAATAATTTTACCAAATTTTTTATCTAATAAACGGCATCTGTACTTTCCTGTACTTGAATGAAATTTTGTACAAATGACATACGGTACACGTGCAAGGAGGCGATAGATCCGATGCATGATCCAATCCAATAAACTATCACATGCTCCATGGATGAGGTTCCCAGACAACCATATTTTAAAGAAGTTGCCAGTGCAGGATTAAAGTAACCGCCGGTGTAATTGAAAGCTGAAATACATTTTAAAGATCAACGATACAGGCATTCTTTCACATCGTAAGAAAGAATATAGAAACATTCATCAACCTGCAACTACTAAAGACGTCCCCACGAAGGCATCGATGACCGTGCTAAACCTCGGGTTCAGGTCACCCAGCACGCGGGATACCACTCTGCACATGCACGTTGCAATGCATTCCACAAGCGCTCCAATTATAGCGGACACCTGAAAAATCATGGCTTTTCAATTTATAAAATTACTTACAATCGCATCCCAAGTAGAACATAGAAGTCATAATAATATCATGAGGACATCATCATGACTTCATTCATCACTTATAAGTCAATTTTTAAGTATAAAATGAAGACGTTCTGTGATGTCATTTTGACTAAATTATGATTCCATGTTCTACCTAGGACGTATTGAAATTATTATTGAACGCGTACTATATATTGCGCAATATGTCGAATGAATAATGAAACTCCTACTTAAAATATTATTTAAAAATTAATATTAGTTTATAATTCGTCGATGGGAAAAATGACGATTTAGTCTTGCCTGTAAATCTGTAGTGCAATCGCCATAGGCTCTATTCTTGTGCGTAGAAGCGAATTGTAACGCCCACAATATTTGGATGTACTTAAATATAAGAAGACCGCCAGCCAATTCCGCGCATATCGATAAAAATGCGACAATCAGGGGCTTTTTACGTATTACAACATCCTCCATGTGTGTATAAGGACACGCAGAAGCTTCATCCCAGTTTATCGACCACCAGATTGTTAGTAGAAACAAATAAAGCGCGTACATCCATACTCCCCAATTGTCCGCAACTAAAGAAGTTCAAACTTTTTAGGGGAGAAAATATTTAGGACCAGTGCTATTGTAATATGTACAATAAAATGACAAAAAAATAATATAAAACATTTTAATCAATAGTTTAAAAATACATACAATGAAAAAATATAATTATAATGCTAACATATATATGTAATAATACGCAATATATATAAATATAATTGCAATATAAATAATAGATTTCTGAATCCACAAGATTATCATTCATCAAAGTTAATTGTATAATATCGTCAATTAATACTTATACTTATAAAACAGAGTTGACTTACTTATAATGAGCTCGAAACATGCCCCGCAAAGTTCTGCTGTAGCTATGAATTCAAAAACCAAAGCTCTTGTAAGGGGATAAGAATTAAGATAAAATAATGCATATAGCCTTAGCCAATACGCTATCCAAATCGTGACTCCAATGTACGCTGTAGACACTATCAAGTCTATTGATCCAGGCATTATCCTATTGAGATATGTGCCATTTAAACAAGTGCGGCATCAAGCGTAATGAAAACGTATGAGCGTAATAAAGCATATCCGATGAACAATCATATACCACACACTAAAGAAAGATCTACAGTTATACCATCCAATACAGTGATATATAATTAATATTTTTACAACGGATCATAAATTTACAAATTATTTATGCATATACCGTCTTTCTCATTAAGATTAATTTTATCATGTAATAATGTGCATTCATTTGATAAAACGCGAAACTAACGATGCATTATGTAATTGATTTACTAATTCTATAATATATTGCATAGTTTAATAGAGAAACACAGCAAAAACTTACAAGGTAATCACCAAATCACACAGGCTACTATTTTAACTTTTATTATTTCGGTTTTCATAAAACTTCGCGCACGAGACATTCGCATTGAGTAGACTTCACCTAGCGGTTATTTAAAACTAAGAGTACCAAATATATCTGCGCGAATATGTCGCGAGGCTTTAAATAACTCGCCGAGATTGTCTCGAAGCATAGTACTATGAAGCAATGGAATTTTTATTGATTCGATTTAAAGAATAATATATTCAAAATAATTGATTTAAAAAATTACTCAAAAAAAAGATTATATCTCAATAAAACATAATTTGGAAATACATTATACTTTCGTGAGTACATAATCGACGAAGATTCTCATAAAGAACTGAGTGGCGCAATGCATCAATGATGTCGTGGATGCTGCAGAATGTATATCTGTTGCTTTCAAAATGTTCGCTTTACATATTCATACAAAAGTTTATAAACCTATAATAATAATACTAGAAAAATCGTTATCTAAAGTACATATCAAGGTCAATCATAAAGGGGACTGCACGTATACAATCAGAAATCATATCTGCAGTTTTATTCGGTTCATGATTTAACTACATTATTTTATATACGTCGAAATAAATGATCTCATGTATTGTGAGAAGTAACATTAATCTTAGCATTGTAAAAAAGAAATATTTATTTACAGGAATTGAGGGACTCCCCCCCTTTATGTTTTTTAGCAGTGCTAGGAGAGTCATCTTGATTCTGTGTCCTTGATACTATCCTATGAATTCGTTTAGATTTCAAATACGACATTGTTTCGGCTGATGATCTAAAAATCGATAAAATGATTATTAAATTAATGTGTAAATTTATTAATTTAATGATATGGGATTAATACATTTTCATGTAATTATACATTATACATATTCATTTAGAAGGAATGTCTAAAATGTATTTCGAAAAAATATTTCTGAAAAAGATCAGAATATCCATAGAAAATTGTAATGAAAAAACTTAAGAAATGTTTCATATATGATCATTGTAGTAATGTCAATAATAATTACAAAAACTTAATTATAAAAATATACTTAATCAATTATAAAATTAACATATATAAAAGATGTATGTATATATA